AGAGCACTAATTGATCCTCTCATGTTCACTAGGACTTGGAGCAGGTAAGGGTTACTTTCAATTTCACACACAGATCTAAAAGTCATTTACTGTTTCTACTCAGAATAGGATCCTTCCAATTGGGGCGGGTAAGTATTTCTAGGATCTTTGAGAGTTTTTGTCCTTATAGTCTGGTTGAAGATGACATTGGAGACATCATCTGTAGGTTATTATTTTGTTTTTTGTTGTAGTTGCTTGTTTTGTTTTAATTTTGTCCTGGCCACTTAATTCACCATTCAGGAAGTTTTTGTGGGCAAATTCAAATCTATACTTCTGTTACGTTTATGTCATGATCAAGTTACTTGGTCCCTATGATTGTATCTTATAAAATTTATTTCATGATCCTACAAGGAAAAAATGTTAAGGAACATTTTCTATAGTCATCCACCCAGGTGGAGTTACAACCTGGACTTTCACTGCCTGTGCATTGCCCAGTGAAAGTCTCCAGGTCACTCTGCTTGCTTCTGTTAAGTGCCCTCCTGCCTGTGTGGCTTGCGTTGTTTTCTTGGTTTCCTTTCACTCAGTGACTGCTGTTCTCTTTGAATTTCCTGACACATGTCAGCCACCCTTCCTGTGCTGTGGCATGTGCTGCAGTCTTAGGGTTGGGCTGCTGTCTGCAGCATATGATTTCATATTCCAGCAAACTATGAAGCCGAGTTACCCATGCTGCTGAAGTGCACCTGCCCATCCATCAACCATCAACACCCGTTAACCTTCCACTCTCTGGAAGAAATTTTATTGTCTCTTTATTTATTCCTGATGTATGACACCATATGACTGTTTCACAAAGCATTTTTCATTATTTTAAAATTCCAAATTTCACGTTAAATGGTTTGTATTGTATGATAATATGTGGCAAGAATTTATGTTCCATTGTAGATATTATGGCAGTATTTATACTTATTTTAAAAGTGTAAACACAAACAGCTATACTTTAATTTTTAAGGTCTAACAATAAAGTTTTATTCCATTAATAATACTTGAGTTATATATATGATGTTAAACATTAAGTAACATAATCCTGAATTATAGCATGGCATGTATGTATGCATTGCTTTTTGAGGATTACTTGAAAGCATAGATACTATAGAGGGACATATTTTTACTACTATATAGGTCTAATTTAAGATTCTCTTCCTTGTTACCTCTTAGAGAAGTCATTTGTGGCAACCTATAACTTGGGTAATTATAACTCAGGGAAGCCTGATGGTTTTTTAGTTGCATTTTATAGTCAGGCTAGTCTATATAACTGATGGCAGGGACATGATATTAGGTCCATGTATTAAAGATGATTGAAAGGCTTCAAATGGTTACCTTCTACATCCAAATATTAGTAACAATCCAAAACTTGGGATTTGGGGCCTTTGTTTTGGTATGTGGCTTTTCAAAATTTCCTCCCTGGTCAAAGTTTAAGTTCCAGCAACATCTTGCGTAACCTCTTGCGAATCTCCTTAGTCTTGATGGAATAGATGATTGGGTTAAGCATTGGGGGCACAAAGAGATAGATCAAGGACATGAACCTGTGCACATACTCAGGGGCATGTTTCCCAAATCGATGCACCATGGACACGCTAACCATAGGCACATAGAAAATGAGCACAGCACATATATGTGACACACATGTGTTCAGAGTCTTAAGCCTCCCTTCTTGGGAGGTGATAGCCAACACAGAGTGTAGAATTAACACATAGGAGAGAAGGATGAGCACTGAATCTACACCAAAGGCAGATATGACAATGAACAAGCCATACATGCTGTTGATGGTAGTATCTCCACAGGGTAAGCGGATCAGGTCTGGATGTAGGCAGTAAGAATGGGTCAGCACATTGGCCTTACAAAAGGGCAATCTCTTCAGGAGGAAGGGAAGTGGGAAGACCATGCAGAAACTGCGGATGATGATGGATGTACCTATGTGGGCCACACGAGCATCAGTGAGCACGGTGGAATAGCGCAAGGGATTACAGATGGCCACATAGCGGTCAAAACTCATGGCCAGAAGGATCCCAGACTCCGTCCAGGAAAAGAAGTGGATGAAGAACATCTGGGCCAGGCAGGCCTCAAAAGCTGTCTCTGGTATGTGAAAATACATAGCAGCCAGCACAGTGGGCATTGTAGAAAAGGACACACCCAGGTCATTGACAGACAAAAGAGATAAAAAGTAGTACATTGGCTGGTGCAAGCTCTGCTCCACCTTTACCATGAAGAGAATTAAGGTGTTGCCTAAAATGGAGATAGCATAAAGCAGCAAGAAGAGAGCAGCCAGCCAGTGCTCCAGCCCCTCCAACTCTGGGAAGCCTGTCAGCGTGAAGCTGGATGTACTCGAGGTGTTGGTCCCAAGGTCTCTCATGAGGGCTTCTCAGTGGCTTTCAGGGCAATAAAACCAGAGTGAGATGAGGTCACAAGGGGGAAATTGTGTAGATCAGGAGCTTTCGGTGCCGTATGGTAGAGCTGACAATAATGCTTAGCTTCCAATTTTGAAGATCACAGAAAGATCTAGAAGGAAGAGATTACATTTCAGGGCTTTTGCAGTCTGGCAATATCCCCAAAACTGCCATGGGCTCTGGCTTCTTCCCACAGAAGTCCATTAATTTCCTTTTGAACATTCTTCCTTATTCTTCCAGTGTGTATGTTCTTCGTAGAGGTACATTTTTTTCCTGATGGAAATTAATCTTGCCCTTTCCCTCTTCCAATTCTTAGCCACCACCTTCTTCAATAAGTGAGGTACAATATGTCCTCCATGACATCTTAGTATTCTCTTCCTCCTGATTTATGCCCTCTTGTACAGGTGGGATTTTCCCTTGTATTCCAGAATGTCCCTCCTCTCTTGCCCACACTCAAACATCACTCCAGTTCATTATTCTCTGTGTTGGTTGAGTACCTTATTATTTGCCAAGCATCTAAAATCTCACTCTTCCACACCTGCTTGCAACTAGTTCTTCTCTCTTACATGATCAAGTGCTCTTTCTCTTGTTAGATCAAGGAGTATCTAATAGTTGCGTATGTTAGATTCCCTTGAATAACTAGTAACCCACTTTGGATTGCTTGGGATCAAACTCTTGGCTCTGGCTCCCAATTCCAGCTTCTTGCTAATGCAACAGTGATGGCCCAAATAGTTAGGTTCCTGCCACTCACGTAGGAAACCTGGATTGAGTTCCTGGCAGAGGCCCCTTCAGCAGATGCCCCGTCCCAGGCATTTGGGGAGTAAACTAGTTGAAGACCTCTCTCTTTTTTGCTTCCCCCACTCTCTTTCTCTCTCTCTCTCTCTCCTGCTACCTTCTCTGACCCTCAAATAATTTTATTTTAAGAAACCATTATTCAGGCCAAATCAATATCAATTAAATTTCAGTCTCATATCCACAACTCAGAAACCGGCATTTTAAAAAAAAATATTTACTTATTTGTTTGAAAGATAGTGTTAAAAGCAGAGACAGAGAGACAGAGAGAGAGAGAGAGAGAGAGAGAGAGAGAGAAATGGATCTTCTGTCTGCTGGTTTACTTCCTAAACAGCCACAATAGCCAGGTCTGGACCAGGCCAAAGAAAGGAGCCTGGAGTCTCATCCAGTTCTCCCACATAGATGCAGGAGTCCAAACACTTGGGCCATCTCTACTTGCTTTCCCAGCTGCATTAGCAGGGAGCTGAATTAAAAATGAACAATCAGGACTCAACCAGCCAATATCGGAATTTCAGACTGCAGTTTAACCTTCTGTGTCACAATGCAGTTTCCAGGAATTGGCATTTTTTTAACTCTCAGGCAATTCAAATAATTGGCCAAGTCTGAGAATCGGGACTTTAAGTTACTCTTATGATGAGTCAAATATGTCCCACTTCCCACTAAGTTATTCCTCATGAGAGTCAATTTCAGGAGTTACTACATATGAAAACAAAAACAACAAATCTTTTTATTATCCCCTCATATTATGCTAGCAATTACTTATGTCTTTTCCCTTATTCACAACTAATGTTTTCAAAATTATTTTCTATTCATAATAGAATTTTCTCAGTCCAAACTGGCTTTTCTTCCAGCGGCTGTTTCATGCATGTAGTCCCTTTTTCATCATGAATTATAATAGCTCATTGGAATCTCAAACATAACATACACAAAGCTGAACTCTTTGTCACATCATACTTGACTGTCTTTAATAATTCTCATCTCATTAGAGTCCATTACATCTATTCACATGCTCATGCCAAAAAAAAAAAAAAACCTACAAGGCATCACAGATCTATTAATCATTTGTCGCATTTATAATACATAAGTAACTCTGGCTTATCCTCTCCATCTTGTTTTCAATGATAGGCCACTGCTTAGCATCTTGAACTAGGATACTTTCAGAACCTTCCTTTCTGATCATCTGGCTTAGTGTCTTTTCTCTTAAGAATACATTCCCCACAAAGCAGCTAGATTACTTGTGTATAATATACACAAAAAATTATATTACACTCCCACTTAAAATCTTTCACTGGCTTTGATTACCTTTTGAAAGAATTCAAATAGTAAGTTGAATATTTACTGTGGCATATAGTAGCAGCAGCACTATCCAAAAACTTGACTTGCCATTTTCCAATTATTCTATCATTCATTATTTCTCTGTTCCTATTTGTATGTCCTTAATATACCTCTTACATATATTGATCTTCTTGGCTATTACACACTTTAGAATTATAGTGCATTATTACATCTTTGGTTGGTTATTTGTTTAGTTTCTCTGTACCCCAATAAATTATAAGCTCCCATAATTTTCTCTATTTTTTTTCTTGTTTTACTCTCAGTGTTTAGGCAGGTGTTTATGCATATTCAGCCCTAGTCTGGGTCTCTTTTCCTATTTTATTTGTTCAGAATATTGATTAAATAGATAAATTTCCTTAGGAATAAGGTATTATGAGCTATATTTTTTAGTTTGAAGTAAATCATGTGAGTAAAATGACTTCCCTTCCATATAACATCTGAGTTTTGTCTCACCTTTGCCACATAGCAGCTGTGAATTCTGTTAACTTCTTCATACCTTACTTTCTCATCTATAGAATAGAAAAAACAATGCAGAGTCAAACATTTAAATGATATATTCAGGACTGTGGTACATGTCATGTACTAAATAAATAGTAACCAATAATATAATTATTAAGAGAGATATTTAGTGGCTGAAATTCCTGGGATTGTCTCCAAACTGTCTTCTCATTTCCAGTTTCCAAATCACTGACTCTTCATTTGTTTCAGCATTTTATCCACAGTCTAATGAAAATATCAGAATATAAGTTAACCATATTGAAGTTTTAGATGATGCCTTCTGAGCCAGATCTACATACCATAGAGTATAGCTCTAAGTATGAGACCAGAATAGTGGGGCATTAGGCACCAACAGTTATAAATTTTTAGATTGTGAATGAGGGGGCAGATGTAGGATACAAGGAAAAATTCTAAATCACAGAGAGGCCTCTTCCCAACTTCAAAACACTGCACACTAATCACTCTAAGATTTTTGAAGCTGTGAATAAGATTCCCAAGTTCCTCTCTGAAAGAGGAGCTGAAGCCCCCTCTTACCTGCTCAGAGTCACCCTTGTGGATGGCAGGAAAGAAATAAGTGAAGTGTCCACTAAGGGGAGAAACATCAAAGACTGCATATTCTTCACATGGTCCTACTGCCAGCCTCCACCCATGCCCTGGTGTGAGCTCTATAAATTGCTTCTGAATGGTCCTCTGGGATTGATTAAGTCCTATGGTGCCAAGAAATGGCTGTGTTGTCAGGAAGTGTGAAAAATCAATAGTGGATGATTCCTCCATGTCCTGTCATTACTCCCCACTGAGAGGTGTCAAAGAAATTAAACTGAGAACTGGGTTGTCCTGGCATGATTATCATAGTTAGTACTTCATTCTCTAGAACTGAGTCCCAGAAAGAGTCTTTTCATTAAGTCATCAAAAGAAATGGATATTAAACAAGACACTGATTGATTATAGTTCCAGTAACCATGTTCCAACATAGGTAACCAGCATACTGTAAAATCATTTACAGTAATAAAATAGAGTTATGATTATTTTCCTGGATGCTGTTGGGTTTAGCACTGTAAATTCTGCATCAGTGGAAACCATTCGGTCTCTGAATAGCGGACAATTTGTCATGCTATAGGTGAATCTAAATCCAAAACCATCTCTTTCCCTGTGTACATGAGCAACAGGAACATCTACATGACAGAACTATCATGTGATCTGAATACTCTTAACTATTATGCTATATGGCTATGACTGACTAGAAAAAGAAAGTCTTTCTGCTTTATTCTCTGAGGAGTTTCTTACTGCCCACTATAGAATGTGGAGACACTGTGAGTGTTCAGCAGATGGCCACTGAATGAATGGATCTGATTTGGTATCGTTCAGGTCTCCACCCTAAACTAAGGCCATCAGTGCTAGTGGTAGACAGCAATAAGAGGAAAAACATGAGTTGAAGAGTTTTCACGGTCGAGTCATTAACTCAGAATCATACATCTTCAATATGGGAATCAGATCATGGAATAGCCTCTGACTCCTTCATTAGCAATTGTGTCATCTTGGAAAAGTTACTCCTTCTATTCTAGTCTTAGGGCCTCAGTATCTCTAATTTTAAAACAAAAATAATAATTTTTACTTACATTGCAGTCTTGCTGATATGAGCTATAGATTTCAAATAATAACCTTTGCATTTTACATGGCACATAAGTCAGCAAATGAGGAGCTGTTGGTCAAAGTTTCAGTTGTTCAGGATGAATAAATCCTGGGAGTCTACTGCACAGCACAGTGTGGAGTGAACAGTATTATATTGCATGCTTAAAATTTTATTAAGAGGGTAGATATTAGATTAAGTGTTCTTATCACAAAATCAATAGACAAGAATGATGAGAAGAAATTTCTGGAGTGTCTGGGTATTTTTTATGGCACAGATTGTGGTGAGGTTTTCATAGCTATACACTTATTTCCAAACTCAAGTTCTGTACATTTACATATACACATCCTTATGTATTTCAATCACACCTCAGTAAAATATTAAAAACAAGAAGAGAGAGAGAAAATATTATTAGTATTACATTGCAGCTGGCAAAGTGAACATTAGAAATTTTCAGTGACCGGTTTAGTTAATCCACATAAATGACGAGATCAAGTGAGGTTCACAGTACAGACACCCAGCCTGCCTTAGAACAAATGTTCTGTTGCTTCATTTCAAATTAATGAGCTTATGTTATCTTTTGATTACAGAGAAAATAGTCTGGTGAGCACAGGCCTCAGGTGAAGTGGTATGTGAAGACTGAAACTATGATGCGTTTCCCAAATGCACTGAACTCCCTGAGCATCACAGAAAATGGCACTCTTGGGGCCTGAAATGAGGCCCCCATGGGGAAGGATGGTGGGCTTTCCACAACCCAAAGTCACATAAAGCCAGTTGCTCTGGGGAAACACTAATCCCCTGAGAATGGCAGAGCTGTGCATTTGGAACACTCCTCAGTATTCAACTGTCACAAATACTCATTTATTGACTTTCAATTGCGAAAGTCAGGATGCCAAGAGAAATAATGCAATTCTTCCCTTACTGCCTAACAAATGTGCCTGACAAATGTGACAACTTCTGAAACCTTTCCTTATTCCAGTCCTGCTCTTTAAAGGTAGCAGAGGGCTAAGGGAGCAGAGCCCGACTTAAAACGGCACAATTTGGGTTGACAGTAATTTGTAACAATCACACATGCCTCGTCTTGTTGAAAACAAGATTGAATAAAGAGTCGTTTATAAAGAGTTCTATAACCCCAATTTTCTATGTTTCCTGTTATTATAAATATAGCATAAAGTATCCAGAGACATCCTAAATAAACTACTTCAGTGTGTTTGCAAAAAAAAAAAAGACACTTGCACTGAAAATCAGTTTCCAAAATCATAAAGAAATATTTGAAAGTCACTCAGCCAATGTTCAGACACCACCTGCCCCACTTTGGGGCTTACCTCCTTAGAGTTCTCAGTTGTACTCGGTGGCCTGAATTTCTCTCTTTTTCTCTTTCTCTCTCCTAATATCTATCTCTATCTATATCATTGACTTATCTATAATCTATCAATCATCTTTCTCACAAACATAATGTGTATGTGTTATAGAAAAGTAGTAACACAGATAAATAGAAAAATGCATATTCTCAAACCTCACTATCCTGAGATTACTAACAGTTTCTACCAATTATTTTTTCTAGACAAATTTATATAAATTATTAATATTTTACCAAAATGTCACAATTTTCAATACTATTTTAAATTTGTGTTGTATTTTAAAATACTCTTTACAAATGCATATATATTATTTTCAGCTACCCATGCTAGAAATATGTTGTGACAGTGTCTTCTGTTTTCATAAGTATAGCTTCTTTGATTTTTTTAATTCACATTTTAGCATCTGAGAGGATACATTTCTCTCCTCATTTTTTCACATTTTCAAAACTTTTGTGGGAAGACAATTTTGCTTACATTTTTTTCTTCATACTATTTGTTGAATTCTTTACTTAGTGTAGATAGAGTAGATCTTATGAGTATAAAATTAACTGAAAATAGAAAAATAGATATTTGTAAAAAAAATAAGATTGAGAATAGAAGAGCGATGAGGAAGAAAAGAGGGAGTGTGGGCAGAAGAGAGGGTAGGATGGGAAGAAGCACTGTGTTCCTAAATTTGTACATATGAAATGCATGAAGTTTGTATACCTTTCTATTTTTTTAATTTTTTAAAGCTTTTATTTAATGAATGCAGATTTCATAGGTACACTTTAGGAACACAGTGGTTCTTCCCCCATACCCACCCTCCCATGCCACCTCTTATTCCTTCTCCCATCCCATTCTTCATTAAGATACATTTTTAGTTATCTTTATATACAGAAGACCAGCTCTATACTAGGTAAAGATTTCAACAGTTTGTACCCACACAGACATACAAAGTATAAAGTACTGTTTGAAGACAAGTTGTAGCATTAATTCTCATAGTACAACTCATTAAGGACAGAGGTCCTACATGGGGAGTAAGTGCACAGTGAATCTTGTTGTTGATTTAACAACTGACACTCTTATTTATGACGTCAGTGATCACCCGAGGCTCTTACCATGAGCTGCTGCCAAGGCTATGGAAACCTTTTGTGATCAGAAGTTTGTACACTTTAAATAAAAGGTTTCTAGTTTAAAAAATAAATTAACTTTGAAATCATTCTGTTTGTTACCAAAAATATTCATCATTGAATTAGGAAGAGCTTACACCTTCACAGCATGTTTAATCTTTCCATTTAGGTGTATTATGCTGTATCCATTCATTCAAGTTTATTTGGAAATCTATCAATAGTATTTTAAAAGGTTCTCTGTAAATTTTCTTATAAAACACTTTTGAGATAAATTAAATTCTTAAAATTTAAAAATTGAATCATGTATTAATATTTGTTAGTATTTTCAAAATTACTGTATATGTATTATGTTATGTAATCTTTCCAATTAATCTGACACACAAATTATATCATTTATTGATAAAAATACTATGGTCACACTCATTCACTTATCTAATTAGTAAGGATTTACAGAAATTCAGCATTTAATTCATAAAAATTTAATCACTGTAAAAATGAGAGTTTCGGCTGGCGTCACGACTCAATAGGCTAATCCTCCGCCTGTAGCGCCAGCACACCAGGTTCTAGTCCTGGTCGGGGCGCCGGATTCTGTCCCGGTTGCCCCTCTTCCAGGCAAGCTCTCTGCTGTGGCCCAGGAGTGCAGTGGAGGATGGCCCAAGTACTTGGGCCCTGCACCCCATGGGAAACCAAGAGAAGCACCTGGCTCCTGACTTCGGATCAGCACGGTACGCCGGCCACAGTGTGCCGGCCGCGGCAGACATTGGAGGGTGAACCAACAGCAAAGGAAGACCTTTCTCTCTGTCTCTCTCTCTCACTGTCCACTCTGCCTGTCAAAAAAAAAAAAAAAAAAGAGTTTTCCTCATCATATACCTATATTTCAACCAACATAACAGTCATCTTACATATATTACCTC